TATATATTGGATTATACAGTGAATTATTAAAGGATTAACATTAAACTTATGGCCTGGTAGCAATCAGAAGGCAAAATAAATTACTAGTATTTCACTTTTTGTATTACTTTCAAAATTTCAGCACCATTTCTTATTTGAATAATTATACAAATCAACTTTCCTTCCATCTCCATCCATATGCCCTTGAAGTTTATCTTCCATATTTTCTTTAATGAGAACTTAATGTTAGAAAATCTAACAAGATAGTGTCATTTCTACATAGGCTTGCTTCCATTTGTAGCTAGAATCCTTCCAACTTCTATGGAACCATTCATCTTGCCTGCTGTTGAGTCTTACCCAACTCATAGTGACCCATCCTTGGGTTTCCGAGGCGATATCACTACGGAATAAGATTGCCCAACCTTCCTTCTGAGGAGTGGCTGGTGGGGTTACAAGTGTGAAAAGTCATGATTTCAGGCAATCAGAGTAAAGGAAAAAATAGCAGTATGCACTGTACGTGGGTATTAGAGTTTAGTTGAGGGGACACTAATTCAGGCTGGACTGGCTTGATAAGAAAAGATTTTACGTAGTACACAGATTGGAGCTGCTTTGAATTACATAGGGCAGTATTACTCAAGGTGGCTGTGGTAGTTCAGTTGGTGTGTTAACTTGGCTGGGCCTGGTTGAATGGCTGGCCAGCTGGATGTAGTATTCCCCATGATGAGACTGGTAATCAACTCCATGGTGGAATCTACTGTGAGCAGCTGAGTAGCTGCCTTAGGGAATGTGGTCCACTTCCTGTATATAAGGAGAAGCCTTGGGGAATGGTCTCTAGCTTATGGCACGCTTGGACCCTGCATGTAGCCGTTTCATTGTTCAGCAGCCTGCCATGCTCTACTGACCTTGGGACTTAAAATGGACTTGAATTAATGGTCTGCTGTGTGGTTTGGTAACATCGGGACTGTGCCATTTTATTTTTCGACCTTGGGCTTGTAAGCCTCAGCAGCCAGTAGCCGCCTGAGTGAAGAGATGCCTCTAGCTTCAGTGGGCCGGGAACAAGAGGCAGAGCTGAAGCCCAACGTCGAGGGCCTTTCACACAGCCCCTAGAGCCTGGCACTTTGAACTTGGACTTAAAGCCTCCAAACTATGAGAGAATAAGCTCCTGTTTGTTAAGGCCATCCCATTTGTGGTATATTCTTGTCAAAGCGGTACTAGGTAACGAGAACAGCAGCTTTTGGAAATGTTACCGTATTTTGTTGAGTCAGTTACAAGCTTCTCAAGCTAAGGTACTTTAATGTATGGATTAAAAAAGGGCACTCCAAGCACATATGAGCAAAAGCTACTGATTTCCCTAACCTGTCACCAAAATTCATAGAAGGGATCCTTTTTAACTTGTTTTATTGTGCATTTTTGAGTAATTTATATATTCCTCTCAGGTAAGTCTCTGGTGAAGTGAACTTAACCCAAGATAAATTCCCTTCTTCTCCCAGGAGTCCCTTGGTGGAGCAAACAGTTAAGCCCTCAACTACTAGTGGAAAGATTGGTCATTTGAGCCCACCCAGAAGCACCTAGGAAGACAGGCCTGGTGATTTGCGTCTGAAAGGTCACGGCCTTGAAAACCCTATGGAGCAGTTCTGCTGTGCACACATGGGGCCACTGTGAGTGAGAATCGACTTGATAGGACCCAACAACTGCAGTCTGACAAGTCAGGCTTTTCCTCATCCCTGCCCAGGTCATGTGATAGTCCTCGCCCATCTCTTCATCTTTTCCACTGCCATGGCCCCCACCTTCCACGGGGCAGAGTCCTCGGGGTCAAAATGAGTAGTCCCAGGTCATCCTGATACTGTTTTCCTATAACATCTAGTCCTATTACATGGGGTGAGTGTTGGGACATTTGTTGCTTTTAGTGACTACCAAGTTGATTGTCAGTCATGGCAACGCCACAGGTGTAGGTTAGAGCTGCTCCATGGGGTTTTCAAGGATGTGACCTTCCAGAAACAGGTCACCAGGACTGTCTTCCTAAGCACCTGTGGTTTGAACCACCAACTTACTGGCTAGTAGTTGAGCGCTTAACTGTTTGCACCACCCAGAGACTTACTGAATATTTGTTAGATCAATTAATGTACTACATGGACACAGAGAAGATCTGAAATGAATGTTTCCTGATTGGCTAGCATGGCTTTCACTTAAAAACTGCACATGGTATAAGAACAGCTGTGGTTTGTTATTTCTACTGGTTTATTTTTTCAAATGTATTTTAAATTTGGAACTGTTTTGAAATTTGTTCTGGAAAAAAATAATCCTCCATACATGCTGCTTCCCAGCATTCCTTATTTACATTTTATTTCCAATCACTGCATAACCCAGTTTCCTTAGGCTCTGATCATGACCCTCTTGCCCTGTTTCCAGCTAGAACTGAGCTTTAATTGCGTCATCACAAAGGAACAGAAAAAAAAAAAAAAAAGGTGAAAGCAGACTTAGGAAAACTTGGGCAGAGCAGAATGAAAGAGAGACTCTGTCATGTCTCTCTTATTAAAGCCCTAACTAGATTTTTTTTTTTTCAAATATGGAATATGTCTCCTTACTGACTTCAGCTGGCACAGAAACAGGGTGCTAAATTGGAAAAAATTCACCAAGTGCATGTTCACTCTGCTTGAGTAAAGAGCTAGTTGAATGAAAGATTTCTTTTTTTTTTTTAAATTGTAGTTTGGATGAAAGTTTACAGAGCAAATTAGTTTCCCATTCAGTAATTATTCACATTTTGTTTCATGACATTAGTTGCAGTCTCCTCAATGTAACAACAATCTTCCCACTTTCTCCCTGGGTTCCCAGAAAGAAACTGATTCCACACTGTTAAATCAATCAGTTTGTCACCTTTATTTGCTGTAACCCTAACTTAGCTTTCTTTAAAATAGTATTTCACTCTTACTGTGTTTACGTCAAGAAGCCCCAGTGGTGCAGTGGGTAACAGGTTAACTGTTGACCAAAAGGTCAGAGGTTCAAATCCACTAGTCACTCCATGGCAGAAAGATGTGGCAGTCTGCTTCTACAAAGATTACAGCTTTGGAAATCCTATGGGGCAGTTCTATCCTATAGGGTTGCTATGAATTGCAATCGACTAGACAGTAATGGTTTTGGGTTTGGTTGGTTCACATCTGTCAAAGCAATATCACTGCACCACTAAATTACCCATATGCAACTGAGTACTTGATACACACTTTTTGATGTTAACAAGTGATAGAAAAGATTATATCATCTCTTTAAGAAAGCATTTTCTTTAGATACTGTGTTACTTTGGTTCCTTTCAAAAGTGCAGCAGCAAAAGACTTTTTCAAAGAGTGACTCTCTCTCCTTTCACAAGCCGGCCTCGAAACCGCCAAACATCCTGGAAATAATATCAAACAAAACAAATTTATGGAACACTTTTATTTGCATAATCACTATAAGACAAAAGGGATAATGGGGGAAATACATACATATGTGTGTGTGTGTGTTTATAAAAAACCAAACTCACTGCCGTAGAGTTAGATCCAACTCATAGCAACCCCTCTTTGGGTTTCCGAGGCAGTATCACTACAGAAGTAGATTGCCCAACCTTCCTTCAGAGGAGTGGCTGGTGGATTTGAACCAGTCAAATGCTTTAGGTACTATGCCACCAGAGCTTATATATAGATATAGATATAGATAGATATTATGCCCATAATAGTCATAGTGAATAAAGCATATTCTGAGACTCCAATTAATTTATTTACCAACATCTAAAATAGTGTTAAATGAACTAAGTTAGTGGTTCCCCAAATTGACAGTGCTGTTTCATTTGGCACACTTGTCAATGACTGGTAATGTAACTAGGTAGGTGCTATGTTTGCTCATAATGCAAACATTTTTCTTTCCATACCTGCCTGGTCTATTTTGAGTGTCCAACTCATTGTCACCATGAGTCAGAAATGGCTCAATGGCCAACTCCTGATTAAATCATAATAATGAAAATAGTTGTCATGGATTTCTGGTTTGTTTATTCGTTTGTTTTTATTTCTTAAAAAACATACAGATTTTTCTCATTTATTTCTTGTTTCTTGTTTATTTTTGAGTAAATAGCTATGAATGGTGGGAAAATGATTTGGAAATTAGATTGGACTCTGAAATCTAGAACTGCCCCTTACATAAGTTAGCCCAACCTCTCGGATGCTATTTTCTCATTAATAAGATGGAGTTGTAATGACTGCTTCATTAGGTTTTAGTGAAGAAAATAAGAAATTAGATATGACAGCGCTTTTGTACCTTACAAAGAATTATATGGGAGAAGTTAGTATGTTACTCTAAGTAAACCTCATCAATTATAACTACAGAGTAACTAAAATAGACATGAGAGGCAATTAATTTACCATAACCTTGACAAGCCTGAAACATAATGCATAAAGTTTTTGTGCCTTAAATTTAAGGGTGTTAGATAGAAGCCTCAAGGGACAAAATATGTTAACCATGTAAAGCAGCTTATGCACTAGACAAAGACGAAGGACAAGAACGTTCTAGGAGGTGCAAATGCAAAAAATCAGAACACTTGGGTATGGGATAGAGCCTTAGATTCTAAAGGGAGAAGGGGGTCTCTGGGTGGTACAAACAGTAAAGGCTCGGCTACAGACCAAAAGGTTGCAATTTGAATCCATGCAGAGGCACCTCGGAAGAAAAGTTTGACAATCTACTTCCGAAAAATCAGCCATTCAAAACTCCATGGAGAACAATTTCACCCTAACACCATGGTGTCATTATGAGTCTTAATCGGGTTGATGGCAACTGGGTTGTTTTTTGTTTTTGTTTTTGTTTTTTGCCTAAAGAGAGAAGGAGTGAAAGGAGAAGCAAGATTGTTGAGCTGGAGAGGTGTTTCAGAAGATGACTCCCAGCAACATGGGCTTTATCATGGGTGTGCCAAGTTTGGGGAGGTACTTCACAACCCAGGGTCAGCCTCACATTCAGGAGGCTCTATCACTTGAATAGGAAATGTGTGCATTTATGATTATCTCATATGAATCAAAATAATATAGGATCAGCTTCTTGGTTCACAAGCCAAAATGTACTATTTCTACAAGTCAAGGTGTTCTTATTTATTTTTGTTGAGAATATACACAGCAAAACACACACCAGATCAACAGTTTCTACATGTATCATTTAGTGACATTGATTACGTTCCCATCTTCCTTTCCTGACTTGTTCCTCACTCATTAACATAAATTTAGAGCCCACTGAGGTTCTTGTCTAATCTTTGCAGTTGCAGTTGTCAATTTGATCCCATGTAGATAGGTCTTAAAAGAGTATAATGTTCAAAGCAGACAATTTTTACTAGTTAAGCTAAATTACTGTTTGGTTTTAAGAAGACTTCAGGGGATATTTTTGGTTTAAGGTTTAAAGGTTATCTCAGGGCAATAGTTTCAGGGGTTCATCTAACCTTCATGGCTCCAGGAAGTCTGCAGTCCATGAAAATTTTAAATTCTGTCCTACATTTCCCCCCTTTTGATCAAGGTTTTCTGTTGAATCTTTGATCAAAATGCTCAGTAATGGTAGCTGGGCACCATCCAGTTCTTCTGGTCTCATGGCAAAGGAGGTAGTCATTTATGGAGGCAGTCAGCCACACATTCCAAGTGTTCCTAGTGTTCCTTCTTCCATTCATAGTATTTCTATTATAGCAGCACTAAATAACTCAGACAACTGTTGTGATCAGAGAAAGTACTTTCTATGATTTCAGTCTTTTAATTAAATTTATCAAGACTTGCTTTGTGTGCTAGCATGTGGTCTATCCTGGAGAATGATCCATGTGCACTGGGACAGAATGTATATTGTGCTGTTTTAGGGTCAAGTGTTCTATCTATGTTTGTTAAGTCTAGTTGGTTTACAGTGCCATTCAAGTCTGTTTCCTTGTTGATCTTCTTTCAAGATGTCTGTCCAATATTGATAGTGGTGTATTGAAGTCTCCAACTACTAGTGTGATACGATCTATTTCTCCCTTTAATTCTATCAGTGTTTCATTTATATATTTAGGTGCCCTGATGATAAGTGCATATATACTTATGGTTGTTAAATCTTCTTGATTAATTGACCCTTTTATCACTACATAATGTCCATCTTTATGTCTTCCAACAGATTTTATCTTAAACTCTACTTTGTCTGTTATTAAGATTGTCACTCTGGCTCTCTTTTGGTTTTTATTTGCATGGACTATTTTTTCCATGCTTTCACTTCCAACCTGTCTGTGTCCTTGGGTTTAAGGTGTGACTCTTGTAAAAAGCACATAGCTGGATCATGTTTTTTTAATCCATTCTGCCACTCTCTGCCTTTTGACTGGAGCATTTAGTCCATTAACATTTAGTACAATTACTGATAAGTGACTTACTTCTGCCATTCTGTTACAGGCAAAACACAGGTTATGAACAACTGACTTATGCCTGTAGCTATGTAAAGCCTATTTTATTAAAAAAATTCAAGGTACACACAATGGTTCCTAATAACAGGCAATATTTTGTGATGTGTATCAAAACATTATTATTATTATTATTACTGTATTATCATGTTAAAGATGTTTTAGTGTCTCTGGAAGTGTTTCCTCACTGTTTTTTATTCATAGAAAGGTACACTACAACTAAGATAAACATTTAAACTGTACCTAACAGTTCTACATACAAATTTGACTTAAAGACAGACTTAGGAACAGAACTCATTCATAATCTGAGGACCGCTTGTATTTGTTTTTTGTGTCTTAAGACTTCTTTGTCTTTGCCCTTTACTACTACTTGGTTTTGTGTTTTGTTGGTTTATTGTAGTGAGCCTTTTTGGTTCCCTTCTTCTTTTCTTTTGTGTACTTTTTTTTAAAATATGTATTTTCATAGTTGTTAACATAAACAAGTGAATACGTTCATTTTCTTGATTAATCATCTGTCTATTGATCAGCAGCAGCATTCATAGAATATATATGAGTTACATTCAAATATTTTACTGGGTATTAATTAGGAAAGCATAAGAAATGCTGCTTCCTGCCCCCATCAGTGAGCATTAATGATCTTTAATCTCTGCTACATACAATCTATGCCTCTTTATAAAACTCCAAATACAAACTTACCAAACCAAAACTTGTTCACCAGGAAGTCTTAGTGGATTTCCTAATGCATAAATACTGGTGGTGCTGGGATTAAAGCACTAACTTCTAATCAAAAGGTTGGCAGTTTGAACCCACAAGCCACTCCATGGGAGAAAGATAAGGCAATCTGTTTCCATAAAGATTTACAGCCTTGGAAACACTAGGGGGTAGTTCTACTCTGTCTATACTGTTGCTATGAGTTGAAATCAAGTTGTTAGCAGTGGGTTTTTTTTGTTGTTATTTTGTTTTGTTTTATGTATGAACAAAAGGAGGTTACGTTTGATAACTTTTCACTTTCTTTCTTGTACTTTCAGCTAGCGTTTTGCCCTTCATTTCCTCTCATCTACATGTTTTCTATTTATTTTCTTATCTGTCCTGTTTCCAGACAGCGCTGTCTGTGTTCCTTGAGACAGCCCTCAGATACACAGAAGGAACATAAAGCCATCAAGTTCCCTGTACCAGGGAAGCAGATACAAACTGAAATCCACTCTCATGCTTAGTGAGTTTTAGCAACTTTCTGAAATGAGCTCTACACCCAAGACAATAATCACTTTCTACTTTCAAATTAAATTAGATATGAGAATAATTATCACACAGTTGCAGAAAAGATGCTCATCAACTGAGATCTCTATTTGTTCATTTTATACAAACATACCTGTATGGTTATGAAATCAATATCTCTAAATCGTTTTTTTGCTATTTCTAGAACTTCCTTCTCGATGTTTTCTTGAGTCGTGCCCTTCACATCAATGTAGTAGCAACTGGCACTGGCAAAATGGCAGGAAATTGCCTGTGAAAACTGAACCAGTTAATACTGGGGAAAAACAATCCCATTAATACCAACAATCTACCAAAGAGTCTTCATGTGAAAAGGCAATTATTTAACTCAATAAGTGACTTCTAAATTGAAAGTCTGTTCCATTGTGTCCTAAATCACTCTCTGTAATTCAGCCACCTTTTTTCCAGCTAAAGGATAACTGAGAAATTATAAGCAATTTTAACTAGGTGTGATATTGATTTTCAAAAGATATATTCAGAAGAAAAAAAAAAACTTGACGGTATATTCAGGGCAGAGAGATAACTGTTGTTGTTGTTGTTGTTATGTGCTGTTGAGTCGGACCTGACTCATAGCGACCCCTCCTTGGGTTTCCGAGGCAGTATCACTATGGAAGTAGATTGCCCCATCTTCCTTCCAAGGAGTGACTGGTGGGTTTGAACCGCCAGCCTTCTGGTTAGCAGTCACGTGCCTTAGGCACTACGCTACCAGAGCTCCCAGAGAGATAACTAAGAGGTCCTTATTTTCTTAGCATTTGATTCTTCTAATGAGCAGACAGCTCAAAGTCCTCAAAAGAAAAGTACTCCATGGTTGTCCATCATTTTCTTAGTCACAAAATAACTACCCAGTCAGATTAATGATGGGTTATTATTTCAAAGGAGATAGAATTTGAACATCTCAAAATACCTTGAGAAAGAAAATAATAGACACAACTCCTCTCAAGTCAAAAGGGACATTTAAAGCCCAATACCACTAAAATATAGTACATATTATTTCCTTCTGGGGTAAGTCATAACTTACTTGGCTCTTCCTATTCTTGAAAAAGGTATAAACACATCTATATTACAAGGCAGGAGCTCTGGTGTCGTAGTGCCTAAGGCATCTGACTGCTAACCAGAAGGCTGGCGGTTCAAACCCACCAGCCACTCCTCGGAGGGAAGGTTGGGCAATCTACTTCCATAGTGATACCACCTCAGAAACCCAAGGGGGGTTGCTATGAGTTGGATCCAACTCAATGACAGTGTGTTTGGTTTTTGGTTTTGGTATATTACAAAGCAAGGATTAAAATTTACCTTCCTAGCAATAAAAATTTTTATTGTGATTTAGGTGAAAGTTGACAGAGCAAATTCACTTTCCATATAGCAGTTCACAATACGCTTTGTCTCATGACATTGACTAAAATTTGCCATAATGCAACAGCTCCCCTCCCACTTTTTTAAATAAAAAAGTATATTAAAACTCACAAAAGCATTTTATTGCATTGTGCTCCCAACCCACCCCTCCCCATAGTCCTCTGCACCATGGTTCTGAGGTCCTAAAAGTGCAGGGTTTGATCCTGTCTTTAAAATTTTGGTATTCTGTGCCTCATGGATTTCTTGCATTAATTTTGATTTTTTAATATTGCATTAAAATACTATTTATCCTATGACTGAGTTTTCTGGCACCTCCGTAAATTTTGCACCTGACTCAAGTACCTCACAAGTCCAATTTTGCCTAACCCTTGCTTCAGTTACAAATTTAGGGCAGCACCAAAAAACTCAAGACCTCTCTTGCCTCACCCTAATCCTGGCCTGGGGAGCCTGGTATAAAGGTGAAGGAATGGAAAATAAAATATGGCACTTTACCCTGGGACTTGGGGAGATATCACGGATGGTGGCATAGTCTAAGGCATTTGACTGCTAACCAGAAGGCTGGCAGTTCAAACCCACCAGCTACTCCATGGAAGGAAGACTGGGCATTCTACTTCTGTAGAGATACCACCTCCGAAACCCAAGGAAGGATTGCTATGAGTTGAATTGATTCATGGGCAGTGAGTTTGTTTTTTGTTTTTTTTTGTTTTTTTTTTTTTGATTTGGTGTGGCAAACAGGAAAGCCTCACTAAGTCCCAAAGGAGCCCTCAATATTTAGTATTGGCAATGGTCTTGTTGTGTTGTTAGGTGCCATTGAGTTAGCTCTGACTCATACTGACCCCATGTACAACAGAACGAAACACTGCCCCGTCCTGTCCCAGCCCCATAATAGTGCTTAAGCACTTGACTGCTAACCAGAAGGCTGGCGGTTCAATACCCACCAGCCGCTCCTCGGAAGGAAGGTTGGGCAATCTACTTCTGAAGCGATAACGCCTTGGAAACCCAAGGAGGGGTCGCTATGAGTTGGGTCCAACTCGACGGCACATAACAACAACAACAATATATACCTGAGCCCATCATTGCAGCCACGTGTCAATCCATCTTGTTGACCCTCCACTTTACCAAGCATGATATACTTCTCCAGGGAATGGTCCCTTCTGACAACATGACCAAAGTAGGTAAGACGAAGTCTGGCCATTCTTGCTTCCAAAGAGCATTCTGGCTGCACTTCTTCCAGCATGGATTTGTTCATTCTTCTGGTAGTCCATGGTACTTTCAGTATTTTTTGCCAACACCACAACTCAAAAGCATCAACTCTTCTTTGGTCTTCCTTAGTCATTGTCCGGCTTTCACACGCATATGCACCAAACCAAAAACCAAACTCATTGCCATCAAGTCGATTTCAACTCATAGAGACCCCCATTTGGTTTCCAAGGTGGTAAATCTTTACAGAAGTAGACTGCCTGGTCTTCCTTCCTTGGAGTGGCTGGTGGGTATGAACTGCCAGCCTTCTGGTTAGCAGTCAAATGCCTTAGGCACTGCATCACCAGACCTCCTATAAGGCTTTTGAAAATACTATGGCTTAGGTTAGGTGAACCTTAGTCTTCAAAGAGATGTCTTTGCTCTTCAATACTTAAAAGAGGTCTTTTGCAGCAGATTTTCCCATTGTAATACATCATCTGATGTCTTGACTGCTGCTTCCATTGGTGTTGACTGTGGATCCAAGTAATATGAAATCTTCAACAACTTCAATCTTTTCTCCATTTATTGTGATACTGCTTATTGGTCCTGCTGTTGTGGGGATTTTCGTTTTATGTTGAGGTGTAATCCACACTGCAGACTGTAGTCTTTAATCATCACCAGTAAGTGCTTAAAGTCATCTTCACTTTCAGTAAGAAAAGTTGTGTCATCTGCATATCACAGGTTGTTAATAAGTCTGTCCAATCCTGATGCTGCATTCTTCTTCATATAGTCCATCTTCTGGGACGATTTGTTCAGCATACACATTGAATAAGTATGGTAAAAGAATACCAGCTAGACGCACTCCCTTCCTGATTGTAAACCATGCAGTATTCCCTTTTTCTGTTTAAACAACTGCCTCCTGGTTTATGGACAGGTTCCTCATGAGCAGAATTAGGTGTTCTGGAATTCCCATTCTTTTCAATGTTATCCATAATTTTTATGGTCCACACAGTCAAATACTTTTGAGTAGTTAATAAAGCACTAGTAAACATCTTTCTGGTATTCTTTGCTTTCAGCCAAGATCTATCTGACATCAGCAATGATATCCCTTATTGTTACCATGGGGAGATGTGAGCCCAAAGTACTGTCAGATCTTCTGAATTTAAGAGAAGTAAGACATCTGGATATTTATAACAAGTTTAATTTTAAACTGTAAGTAAGAAAAATTTTAAATTTGAAACACTCTGAGGCTAAAGGGTGAAAAAACATGACTATATGTAAAATTGGATTTCTGGGCTTCCAATCCATAAAATTTACTTGGATCAATAATGTTTCTTCACAGTAGCAAAGATAATATAAAGTTTCCTCTTACACTTACTATGACCTATATAAACTCCAACCCTTATTATTTAATATTTCAGCTGTTATTTTTGCCTTAGAAAGCACTGGCTGTCAGCTACTAAGTTTATTTATTTATTTATTTATTTGGAAGCAATTCCAGCAATGTCCACAACTCGGAATCAATAGGATTCTGAGGTCACCTGGTTCTTATCAATAAGAGCAAGGGAAAAAAAAAAAAAAAACAGGTAGGCAAATATATTTCCTGGTAAATAAAATGGACTAATAGCCAGTTTAGTTTACATTTTAATATATTTTATCTTTTTGAATCTAACCCCATTCATCTTTGAAAAGTACAGCAAAATTTTAGCATACCTTACGGTATCCTTGGGTTTTGTTCTGACCAGATCCGTGGATGAGCAGAGGATGAAAGAAAACGGTGTCTCCCTTCTCCATCACAAGGTGCATTCGGGCATTGTTTTTGTCATAGTCCTTGATCCCATGGTACATTTTATTAACTCCCCCCTAGAATACATAATAGTCTGTATTTGAGGGAGCACAAGAATTACAAACTTTATCAGTGACCCATCAGGGAAAACCAGGATTTTCTAAGTTATTCCAGAGAAATAGATACTTAAGTCAGATTCTTTTTAAAAACACACAGAAGTCTGGTTTTAAATATCCACATGTTGATAATAAAATCATTGATTTTGGGGGACCAAATGAAAAGTGTGGAATCTCTGCCCACCCTTCATTGCTGAATGATAAATGAAAATCCAGATCAGGGCTTTGCATTATCTGGGAGTGTGGGAGACTCTGTTCATGGTGTGCATCCCAAGCCTGGATATGTCATTACCCTTTCCCAGTATGATATTCCCTTCATCTAGACCTTGGTACAAATCACTCCTCTTGTATTACTCTGGAGGATGCCTGAGAAGCTAATTATTTTCCCCAACAGGGGAGAGAAAATGCTCAATTTTTCTGAGTTCAAAAGCCATTTCTGTTACAGCCAGGGTAAAGAAAGACAAATAGTCAATGATAACATTGTGTTCAATAATAGCTTAAATGCTAACCAGAAGGCTGGCGGTTCAAACCCATCAGCCACTCCACAAATGGAAGATTGGGTGATCTATTTCCATAGTGATACTGCCTTGGAAGCCCAAGGAGAGGTCGCTATGAGTCGGATCTAACTTGACGGCAGTGAGTCTGGTTTTTTTGGTTTATCTGCAAAGTTAGTTACTGTTTTAGGTAATGGCTTATGTCTTTAAAAAAAAGTTAGGGGTTGTTCTCCCCCCATTCTCCTTCCTAAGACTAACCCAAACTCCTTTGGCAAATGACTCCTTCACTATTGGCTAGTTTGTTGGGACTCTGAAGGATGCCCTCTCTCCTGGCCAGGGTGGATATGTGACCCAGGTGAGGTCAATCAGACCTGCAGCTGCTGCTACTTGGAATCCGAGCAGAATGTCAGTGACTGAATTTCACTAGGGTTTGACTGCCCAGGATTGGTGCCCCACTCCAGACTGTTCCTATCAAGCAATGACTCCTGCTCTAGTGCCCTCCAGAATTAGCCCACCTTCCTAGCAACTCTGCAAGCAACCAAAGCCCTATTCCCTTTGATTTACGTTACCCAGAGCCCACTGCTATTGCCTCCACCATATCTTACCTAAGCCCTAACTTAATTGATGGAGTTCTCAATTATGGATTTTCTATCAGGATCCAGATTCAAATATTTTGACTTAGTACTATCGCTTCCTACAGAACCACAAATCATTCTTTTTACTTCGACAACAGGTGCTCTTTCCATTCTAATCATTATCATAGGATTTCAGGACTTTATCATCTTATACCTAAAATACCAATTGCCTCCTCTCTGGTTTCTCCATTTCTGGATTCCTACACCTTCAATATATCCTGTAGTAGACTGCGGGATTATCATTCTTTAAGAACCAATTAGATCTCAAGACTTCCAGTAAAATGGCAGAATAGGCAGACAAGCCACACAGACCCTCTTCAACAAAGAAAAGAGAAACCAATTGACAGACATACAGAAGATGATCCTGGAGCCCTGAGCTTTGAAAGGAAGTATACAGAAGTGGATTAGACACCAACTAGTGGAAAAACCTGAATGAAAACAGTGAGTATGGAGATAGAGCTACGGACTGTCAGCTATTCTGATGGGACCAACAGTCTGAATATATCCAAGTGGTACTAAGACCTGAGAATTAACCTAAGATCAGCCCTGGTCACCAAGGGCTGCAGGGACAACTGCCTGGTGGCCTATAACTAGGAAGGGAGACAACAAGAAGGGAAATAACCTGAGCTCTGGACTTTCGGCTATCTGGAGGGCACAGCGATTTTGATTGTTTTCAAGCGGTGGCCATTTTGGATATTTAAAGTGACTGAAGTCACAGCCATTTTGAAAGTTTGCAAGCAGCAGCCATTTGGAATATTTAAAGTGACTAAGGGCACAGCCATTTTGAATGTTTCAAGTGGTGGACATTTTGGACATTTAAAGTGACCAAAGGCACAGCCATTTTGCATGTTTACAAGCAGTGGCCATATTGGATTTTAAAGTGACAGCATTCTCATTCAGATTCCAGGGACCTAAGAATAGGCTTCATTTGCCATGGCAGGGATACAGGAGGCTAACAATGGGAAAGGAGACAGGTGTTGAGTGTATAAATGCTGCCAACTAGTGAATAGAGGAGCACAGTACCCTGCTTACATAGACACCATCCAAACAAAACAAAGAAAATGAAAATTGTGGGCAAGTCACTCCAACATACAATCACCAATTAAATATAAACAAAAAAAGTCACAATGTCTCAGAGATAACACAGCATCACAGTCCACACAAAGAAGTAAGATAAAGCAAGAGAAGCAACAGACCAAGATACAGACCCAAAACACATCCCTGAGGAAGAAGCAGCATTGGAATTCCCAGATTAGGAATTCAAAAGAATTATATTTAGGTACCTTCAACGGATTGAGAGAGAGAGAAGGAAAACACTGACAAAATTGAAGAAAACACAGAGAAAACTCTAGAAAATTTTTAAAAGACAATACAAGAACAAAATGACAAAATAAATGGAAAATTAGAAATGATATAAAATCTACACAAAGTAATCCAAAAGATTAATACTAAATTTTCAGAAATAGATAACACATTGAACAGGCAAAGGAGTAGAATTGAATCAGTGGAAGACAGAATTAGTGAGATTGAAGACAAATACCTGAATACTTCTCTGGAAAGGGATCAATCAGAAAAAAGATAAAAACAAAATGAAGAAAGCCTAAGTTTCATGTAGGATACCATCAAAAGGAATAACCTACATGTCATCAGAATTCCAGAACAAGAAGAGACAAATAAAACCACAGAGAAAATTGTCGAAGATTTGTTGGAAGAGAATTTACCTGGTATGATGAAAGTTGAGAATATATCCATTCAAGAAGTCCAACAAACCCCAAACAGGATAGACCCCAAAAGAAAATTACCAAGACATTATCATCATCAACTCACCAAAACCAAAGACAAAGAAAGAATCCTGAAAGCAGCACAGGAAAAACAAAAAGTTACCTACAAGGGCCAACTAATAAGACTAAGCTCAGATTTCTCAGCAGAAACCATGCAGGCAACAAGACAACAGGATGATATATATATAACTCTGAAAGAGAAAAATTTCCAAACAAGAATTATATCCCCAACAAAACTGTCCCTCAAATATGATGGTAAAAGTAGGACATTTCCAGATAAGCAGAGATTAAAGTAATTTGTTAAAACCAGATCAATCTTACAAGAGATGCTAAAGGGAGTCCTTTGGACAGAGAACCAACAACAGCAAACAACAACTGACCAGTAACACACATGATGACATAACCCAGAAACAAACCAGTTATAGAAGCATCCAAAGTAAATAAGCCTACAAGATTGTACACAGGGAACCAGAGACATCAATTAACAAATGAAAACAACTAAAAACCAAAAAGAGGGGAAAACTGTATACTTACAGAACTTCTAAATAGTAGGAAAGTCAAGACAAGACAGCACAATAGAATGGACTGTTCTAAACAGAAATTTATAAATCACAGGGTAACCTCAAAGAAAAATGATAAACCTTCACATTAAAATAAAAAAGAGAACCAGCACAAATATTTAGCAAATACTAAAACAATACAATGAAGGAAATGATAACATGATTCATAAACAAAACGAGCTTATCACAGAAAATTACATGCAACAAAGAAATCAGACATACCATGAAAAAGCACATAACAAAATGACAGCAACAAATTCGTACTTGTTGATAATTACTTATCTGACAAGGGACTTATCTCTAAAATTTATAGAAAACTCTCAACACCTCAACAACAAAAAGATTAATGATCCAGTTAAATGGGCGGAAGACATGAATAGACACTTCACCAAAGAGGATATTCAGGCAGCCAACAAACACGTGAATAAATACTCACAATCATTAGCCATAAGAGAGACATGCAAATCAAAACAACAATGAGATACCATCTCACCCCAGCACTAATGGCAGAGTTCAGCAAGACAGAAAATAACAAATGCTGTCGAGGATGTGGAGAAAGTGGGATTGGGAAATGATAAAACCACTGTGGAAAACAACAGTATGGTGATTCCTTAAAAAGCTGGAATTAGAAATACCATTAGACCCAGCAATCCCATTATTAGGTATATATCCTAAAGAAGTGAGAGCCAGGACAAGAACAGATATATGCACACCCATGTTCATATTCAGCACTATTTACAATAGCAAAAAGATGGAAACAACCTATTTGCCCATCAACAGAAGAATGGATAAACAACCTATGGTACATACACACAATGGAATACAATGCAACACTAAAGAATAATGTAGAATCTGCAAAACACTGCATAACGTGGATGAACTTGGAGGACATTATCCTGAGTGAAATAAGTGAATCACAGAAGGAGAACTATAGCTTCTTCTCTGCCTCTGCTCCGCAAAAGGAGCTCCTAGTCCAGCCCACGTGGACTGAGAGCTTCTGGATCTAACCTGCTTCTTACACTGGCTCATGCTCACCCTTGACTCCAAGGTCTCCTTCCCATAGCTTTTACTCTGCCCTTCGAGACTTGCTTTAAACTCTAGCCTCCACAGAGCCTTTGCTGATCTCTCCAGCTAGGAGGGGATCTAGTCTTCTTCTTCACTTCAAGAGCTACCAGCATGTAAAACACATCTGATATTGAAACATTTATGTCCTAACTTTGCAGTGAGGCTTTACAATCTCATATCCTATGCAACACCCACTAAAATTCCCCACAAAGGTTGGCTCCCAAACACTTGCTGGAAGACCAAATATAATTATTTTATCTGACATCTTTTTTTTTTAATTTTTATTGTGATTTGGGTGAAAGTTTACAGAGCCAATTCATCTTCCGTACAGCAGTTCACATATAGTGTTTCATGACATTAACTGCACAATGCAACAGCTCTCTTCCCACTTCCTCCCCACAGTCACCTCCTCCCTGTGTCCTTCCCTGCCATGCACTCCTGGCCCCCAAGCTATCTCCCTATGCATACACAGCCTTTCTGTTCTCCCATGAGTGATCTCTCCAAGGAGTGTATCTACCTAATGTAAATATTCAGCTCATGTACCTATCCTTTGGCTGGAAGTCACAGGAATAAGCTCAGTTCCAGACCTGAAGGGCAGCTGGGGGCCATAGTCTCAGGGGCTCCACAAGGCTCTATTAGACCAGCAAACCTGGTACCTTTTTTTATTTTTATGATTTTGAGTTTTGTTCTACATTGTTCTCCCACTCTATCCAGGATCTCCTACACAGATCCCCCTCCGAGTGGTTGACAGTGATAGCCAGGCACCATCTAGTTCTCCTGGTCTCATAGTCATATGGGCTGAGGATCACATGGTGTACCAGTCCCTTGGACTAATTGTTTCCATGCAGCTTTGGTTTTTTTCATTCTTCTTTGCTCTGGACAAGGAGAGACCCATCGTTGCATGCAGATGGCCACTTGCAAGCTTTTAAAATCCCAGTCACTACTCACCACAGTAGGATGTGTAACAACTTTTTGTGTAGTATGTTATGCCAACTGAGTTTGATGTCCCCTGCAACTATGGTTCCGAACCCACAGGTCCAACTACTCGCTTCCCAGGTAGCTGGCTGTGGCTAAGAAGTGACTACAACCTTGTCCCTTGTCAGCTCTATTATATATACTTGGAAATTCTTACAGAACATATAAATACACTTGTAGAAACATTGTCTGCCAACCCTTTATATGGTCATGGGCACACTCCCCCCTGCACAGACATACTTAATGGTTCAGCCTGTCCATCCATCTATCCACCTGTAGATCAAGGTTTGCCATCACTGACAACATAGTACCTACCGTACATGGAAAAGGGTTCATCTTTGTTGTCTATACCTCCCATGCATCTCTCTGTGTCTTCTTCCTCAATGCCACCATGTTGATCACTCACATTTAGTACATTGTCCTTCCCTTCATCCAAATCAATACTTGTCTCTACCTCTCTAACAGTGTTCCCTGCCCTCCCTTCCCACCTCTGGTACCCAACAAAGAAGGTTTCCTTCCATATAGAAACCTTTCCTTGACTTTTTACAGTAACGGACTAATATAATATTTGTCCTTCTGTGACTGACTTATTTCACTCAGCATTATATCCTGCAAGTTCATCCATGTTATGCGGTATTCTGAAGATTCTATGTTATTATTTAGGATTGCATAATATTTCATTGCATGTATGTACCATAGTTTGGTTATCCATTCTTCTGTTGATAGGCACCTAGGTTGTTTCCATCTTTGGCTATTGTAAATAGTGCTGTGATGAACATGGGTGTGCATATATCTGTTCTTATCCTGGCTCTCACTTCTTTTGGACATATACCTAGTAGTGGAATGGCTGGGTCAAATGGTACTTCCAATTCCAACTTTTTAAGGAATCACCATACTGTTTTCCACAGTGGTTGTATCATTTGACAGTCCCACGAGTACAGTATGAGAGTCCCAATCTCTCCACATCCTTCCCAGCATTTGTTATTTTCTGCCTTGTTGAACTTTGCTACTAGTGCTGGGGCAAGGTGGTATCCCATTGTTGTTTTGATTTGCATCTCTCTAATGGCTAATGAGGAGCTCTGCTAGCATAGTGGCTAAAGCACTTGACTGCTAACCAGAAGGCTGGCGGTTCAAACCCACCAGCCACTCCTCGGAAGGAAGGTTGGGCGATCCTACTTCCATAGTGATACTGCCTCGGAAACCCAAGGAGGGGTCGCTATGAGTCAGGGCTGACTCGACGGCACATAACGACAACAACAACAATGGCTAATGATCATGAACATTTCTTCATGTTTGTTGGCTGCCTGAATATCCTGTTTGGTGTATCTGACATCTTTTAACTTTCTCTGATCCTAATTCCAAATCACAGAACATTGTTTTACTAATAGAAATGCCATCTTAAGTGAAAAGCTCTTTATGTATACGGATGTGGAATGAAAATAATAAAAGGACTCAGTGCTGGGCAGACCTACCTCCCACTGGGGGTAGTCGTGTTGCATCAGGGGTCCCTTGTGTGTGCCTGGAAGCACAACAAGACAGCCATTGCTCCGGTCAATATGCTCCATAGCTGTCCAAGCACACACAATGGTATTGCTGGGCCGGAAGGGGAAATAGTGCAGGTCCTGGTGCAAGGGATGGCGGGATGTCTTCTTGCCTGAAATGGAGCCTGCTGTTAAAAGATGCTGAAGGAATGACATATGGTGTATTTCCAAAATCCCAAACCAAACCCTTTGGCTCTTGAGTCAGTTCTGATTCATGGCGATCCCATGTATTACACAGCACACAACAACAACAGTAGCCTCTTGGGATCCCTTGGTGGTGCAAACTGTTACCTGCTTGGCTGCTGACTGAAAGACTGGAGGTTCAAGGCCACCCAGAGGAGATATGCTTCTGAAAAATCAGCCATTGAAAACCCTGTGGAGCACAGTTCTACTCTGACACACACAGGGTCACCATTGATCACATTCTACTCTACAACAATTGGTACTAGTCAGCAGAGCAGCTTTCTAAGTGGCTGAGGTAAAAAAGAAAAAAAAAAAAAAAGGTGGTTAAGAGGTTTTTTCCATAGAACTATAGGCATCCTGTGTAGAATCACAGGATTGATTTGGATATGTACTTTTAAGTAAGTCTTAAAAATAGCTTATGTGGTATTAATGTGGAAGAGTAACAGTGATTTCAGACATTATCTGTGTGGCTGTTGCTAAATGTTCAGGCAACTGGCTTCTCAAACACGCAGTTGAAACCATGACCATGATTACACTTCCCCTTGGTTTTCCTCTCTGAACTTGGTTCCTGGGGGCCAGCTGCTCTCTCCAGGGAAGCCACCCAGGGAGGGGAAGATTCGGTCATGCCAAGCCACAGGCCAATCACATAAACTTCTCCCACCCATCAAGAGGAAGAAAAAGTAGAAAAAGGTAAGGGGCTCTCTAATGGCTGATTTATTGCTGCTAGTATAGCAGGACTTATCAAGAGCCACAGGCAGTAGAATCTCTCAGGATGTTTATGAAAATGCAATTTCCTGAGCTTTCCTTTCTGAATCAGTCTCTCTGATTGATTAAAAATCTGCATTTTCCCAACTACATGAAACTTTAAGAACCACTATAGTATGTGGTTTTAATAATAGGTTTAATTTTGTAAATAATAATAATTACTTTAAATCATGAATTTAAAAAACCACACTATCATGGGTACAAATAATTATATAAAACTTCCAAAAAAAAAAAACCAAACTCACTGCGGTGGAGTCGGATCCGACCCACTGCGACCCCTCCTTGGGTTTCCGAAGCAGTATCACTATGGAAGTAGACTGCTCAACCTTCCTTCTGAGGAATGGCCGGTGGGTATATATACAGCTTAGAGATGTTGAGTAACAGGAGCTTATGATATATGAGGCGTCCCCAGGTGGTACAAACGGTTAATGCACTTGGCTATTAATCAAAATGTTGGAGGTTGCACAGTTCTCTGACGCACATGGGGTCACCATGAATTAGAATCAACTTGATGGCTACTGGTTACTGGTTATGAATAGCAATGTTTACACTGCATTTTTTGAGAAGCCAGTTGCCTGAACATTTAGCAATAACCCTACAGATCACATCTGCAATCACCATTACTCTTCCACATTGTCAACACATAAGCTGTTGTAAGACTCAGATGAAAGTTCACACCCAAAGTTTGACAGATAGACACACAGCTGGGGTGAGAACATCAGCCTTATATGCTTTATAAGGTTGTTAAACAGGTTTTTCTTTCTCTGTTTAATAAGTAAGAGCCCTTTACCAGAATCTGGAGGCTTGTTTATCAGCATTGTGTGCATGGCCATAATATTGGGTCCAGTGAAGCACTCCACATATTTCAGAATCTGAGGGGAAAAAAAAAAAAGTAAAAACCTCAAAGTAAATCAGAGGCATAGGTAAGTAGCACAGTCTTAAAGTTCAACTATCCATACAAGAACCAAAATGGCGATAGTTTCTAAACAATTGGCAATTCACAATATTGCAAGCAACAACTAGAAACCATTAGAAAGCAAATAGTGTCATTTGTTGTTGTTTGTTGTTGTTTTGCCGTCGAGTCGGCCCCGACTCATAGCGACCCCTCCTTGGGTTTCCGAGGCAGTATCTGGTGAGCATTAGAGCAGTCTTAGTTAAACAGGCTTCTTTGAGCCAGCTGGACACCTAACCATATTTTCTACAAGGAAGATGTGCTTTTCTATGTGATGTGAACTGGGAAAGACCAGAACAGCTCTTCAAACAAAGAGACAGAGATCTGACCACTGAGAAGGCTGTTTCCTCCTCCTTCATGGAGACCTCTTGTAGGAGAAGACCATGGAAGGGCCCAACACTATTTGCAGCTATCAGCAGCAGCCCAGAAGACAGCAGAACAGCAGCTTAGAGGACACTTCACCATCAGTGTAGCCATTCACTCAGCAGCTGTTTACTGAGGTCTGATTCCTGAGTGGTGCAGACAGTTAATGCTGGTAACCAACAGGTTGGAGGTTCAAGTCCACCCAGAGGTGCCTGGGAAGGGCCTGGCCATCTACTTGTGAAAAATTAGCCACTGAAAACCCTATGAAGCACAATTCTTCTCTGACACACATGGGTTGCCATAAGTCTGAATCAACCCGATGGTTTTTATGAATCAAGCAGAGTGATAGAAAGTGGGGATGAAACAGTAAAGGAGATAGGCAAGTCCCTGCCCTCATGAACTTTATAGTCTTCTAGGAAGAAAAATGTTAAACTTATCCATAACATGGATAATTGTGGTTTAGACACATGCTCTGAGGAAGAATGAGTTGCAATGAGTGCATGTGACAGAAGAGGGCTGACTTAGTCATGGGGTTTGGGAGTTGGGGTGACCCCTCACACTTCTAACCCAGCTCCAGAAAGAGTAGAAAGCAGGAAAGTTTCAAAATGGAATACTTACCATATGCCAGGGGCTTTATACAACAGCCCACTGAAACTTCACAATAACCGTATTTTCACTCAAATAATATACGTGTTAAATGTTGGGTTGTTTTTTTTTTTTTTTTGTCAACTGCATCCTCTTCCTACCAGGTATTTTCATAAGCATGCTATGCTTATTATTGCCATTATATGCACAATTAATTGCCCCATTAAATATGCAAATAAACCTGAGGCTAATAACTTACTCAAGTTGCCAGAGTCAGTTAAATGAAAAAGTATTCAAACTCAGATTCTGCCCAACTGGAAAAAACAAGGCACATTCTACTTCCTATTTGGTACTTTGTACATAAGGAATATTGGCTGTTTGCATTTGAGGCATTTGAAATGTTACAAAAATCCTACAAATAGTTAGGCCTCATCTTTTTTTTTTTTTAAATAAAGTCTGTCATTTCTTTGGCATTCACCTAGACTAGTACATCCTAAGCCTGTCATTGAAGAACATCTTCACAATTTCGGCCTTACTTTGTATCACTATTTAGTCAATAATTCATTTAATTTAACTTATTTTACTTAGTCTGACCCTAATTATTAACATTCTTGGAATCAAGGGTTTTATGTGCTGGTTATTTTTTCCTAATACACATTAAAATAAATACCTATTAAAATCATGTGCACCTCCCGAAAGTATTGCATGAACCACCAGATACATGGTCAACACGTTAGAAATGTAGAAAATCTGAAAGTCATGATAGTGCTTTGTCTGCTCCAAGTCCTGGAGACCAATCTGTAGCCTCTGACTTCCAGATTTTCATCCACCATCCAGCCGTACAACTCCCATTTCAATCATAGGACTTGAGGCTGGAAAGCATGGATGGTCCAAAAGGCCACTTGCCCTCTGATACCCTCCCTAGGAACTGGTCATCATAAGTGGCTTAACTGCACATTCTTTCTACACTGAGTTAAATTTTGTAACAGCATCTGCTTATAATTTCTACTGTACTATACATAAAGTTTTCTTTAAAACCATTCTAAACAAATGATTAATAAATTACAGTACATTCATACAATGGAATACTATGCAGGTGTTTAAAAGGCAAACAAAAGAGCCACAGCCACGGCTATGGGGAGATGTCCACTGTAAGTGACATCTGTATGTTCCTGTGGTAGATACCCAAAGGGGTATACAAATATTCTTGCCTAGACACCTAAGGCATTTGACTGCTAACCAGAGGCTAGTGGTTCAAACCCATCAGCCATTCCTTGGAAGGAAGGTTGGGCAACCTACTTCCGTAGCGATACCTCTGAAACCCAAGGAGGGGTTGCCATGAGTCGAAATTGACTCGACGGCAGTGAGTGGTTTGGTTTTAGACTCATGTCTAACTCTACATAAATACACAAGAAGTTTAACATAAGTAGGGTTGGGGTGGAGATAGACTTTACTTTTCAATTTATGCTCTTTTGTACTGCTTGGGTTTTTTCATAAATATGAGTTACTTTGAAAGAATAAAACTTTTAAAAAACTGTTTAAATTTACACTGTTAGATAGATAGAGATAAATATTGATTTGGGTGAAGAGAAGAGCAATGTACCAAATGTGAGTGATCATTACAGTGGCACTGAGGAAGAGAAAGACATAGAGAGGTACGTGGGAGGTACAGACAACAGATGAACCCTTTTGCACATATAGTATGGCGTTGTCAGTGAAGGCAAACATGGGTATATTGGTAGCTAAATGGGTAGACAGGCTAAACTAGTAGGTATCTCTATGAAGCAGGGAGTGTACCCAAGAACATGTACAGGGTTGGCAGACAATGGTCCTATAAGTTTATGTGTATGATCTGAATTCCCAGGTGTATAGTAGAGCTGACAAGGGGCAAGGTTGTAGTCAGTGCTTGGTTACAGCCAGCTACCCAGAGGGACCTAGTAGTTGAACCTGTGGGCTCAGGACCATAGTCGCAGGGGACATCAAGCTCAATTGGCATAACAGAGTACACAAAACATTGTTCCACCTCCTACTTTGGCAAGTAGCAACTGGGGTCTTAAAAGCTTGCAAGCTGCCATCTAGATGCAACGATGGATCTCTCCTCGTCCAGAGCAAAGAAGAATGAAGAAAAACAAAAGTTCATGGAAACAATTAGTCCTAGAGACTGGTACACCATCCGATATTCAGCCTATATGACTATGAGACCAGAAGAACTAGATGGTGCCTGGCTACCAATGTCAACCACTTGGAAGGGGATCTGTGAAGGAGATCCTGGATAGACAGGGAGAACAATGTGGAACAAAACTCAAAATCATTTGGAGAAAAATAAAAGGGGGGGGGACCAGGTTTGCTGGTCCAATAGAGCCTGGTGGAACCACTGAGACTATGGCCCCTAGCTGCCCTTCAGGTCTGCAGTTGAACCCACGGCTGTGGCTTCCAGCCAACAATAGACAGGTATATGAGTTGAACATTTCCCTGAGGTAGATATACTCCTTGGAGAGAACAATCATGGGAGAAAAAGGGCTGCTTATGCACAGGGAGACAGCTCAGGGGGCAGGAGTGCATGGAGGGATGGACACAGGGAAGAGGTAACTATAGGGGGGACATGGGAGGGGAGCTGTTGCATTGTAGTAAACTGTGGTCACTGTCATGAGACAAAGTGTATGTGAACTGCTGTACGGAAAGTGAATTTGCTCTTTAAATTTTCACCCAAATCACAATTAAAAAAAAAAAAAAAACTGTTTAAAAAGAAGATCACTCCTCTTCTGACCAGATTCACAAAGTGAAAAAAATAAATAAATGGGTTTACAAAGATACAGCCTCAGCAATTCCACTTCTCTGGATACATCCATATCAGGTACTAGGAGGACGCTCACTAACACAGAATCCCTCCTTTTTCTCAATGAAGGATAATTAACAAACCTAGAGCTGGGTTCCTCAATCTTGACACTATTGACATTTTGAGCTGGCTGATTCTTTGTTGTTTGGGGTGAGAGGGTTGTTCTGCACACTGTAGCATGTTTAGCAGCATTCCTGGCCTCGACCCACAACATGTCACTAGCAGTCTGGACACAGGGAATCTCCAGACATTGTCTACCATCCCCTGGGGGACAAAATCAATGTGACTGAGAACCACTGCTCTAGAGCTTTATGCAGAAAGGAGTAAAGAAAAGCAGCAGATTCTAGAGGCAGGCGAGGCTGGCAGACTGGCTGTTAAGCAGAAACAAAACACAGGAAGGTCTTTAACCTGGGGGAGAGTGCAGTATCGGAAGAGTTCCTCATCTTCTTGGAAATCTTGGACCTTTGAAACCACTTTTTCATTTGGAACATATTCTGATTTTTCAATGGCCACATCTCTCATTACCGTTATTCCTATTGGTTGCACCTCCTTTTTGCAGATTCTTTGGAACTCATCCCTAGAAAATTAATTTGCAAATGATGTCAGTACTGCTGACTACAAGCGTTTGCCTGGCCCTGCTCTGTGGAAGGATTCGCTGACTTCAGGGTTGTTTCTCTGCACAGTCTGCCTCCAGTCTTCGGCAGAAATTGTTTTGATGGGAAGGAAGAGAAAATGGCCAACTCTGAAGTCCTGGCCTCCTAACCGTCAGGCTGGAGTTCACTACCAGAATTAAAATAATCCTTAGCATAAGACACAAGTGAGGAGATATTTGTCATCTGGTTACATCATCATGATAATAGTAACAGTAAACACTTCCGTAGCATTTACCATGTACATAGTGTTCTACATACATTATTTAGTCATAATAACAAGGAACTCTGGTGGTACAGTGCCTAAGGCATTTTCACTGCTAACCACAAGGTTGGCAGTTCAAATCCACCAGCCGCTTTGCAAAAGGAAAGTGAGGCAATCTACTTCTGTGGAGATTCACTGCCTTGGAAACCCAATGGGGGTCACCATGAGTTGGGATTGACTCGATGGCAGTGGGTTTGACTTTGTTTTTTTAACAACAATGCTAGCATTTAAGTACTGTACTATTATTACCCCGATTTTACAGATGAGAACACAGAGGCATGGTAATGTAAGTAACTCATCCCAGGGCACACAATATTAAATGGTGGAGCTATATAATACAGTAGTGTGCCTCAAGAGCCCATGTTCTTACCAATTCCTAGCAATTAAATCTTTACAGGCAAATTTCAATATACACAAGCTAACATAATTTGTTTTCCCATTACATACATATTTTGTAAAATAATAAATTGGTATTATACCTAAAGCGTTGAATATCAGCATCAGACACCAGATTTTTAATGACAAGAAACCCATTTTCTTCATAAAATTGTCTCTGTTCCAGGCTTAGGACATTATTATCCAGAGTATACCTAAAGGAGAAAAAAAGAAATCTCCACATAATTCCAATTTTTAAATCCCAGCCTTACATTATATATCTAAAACTTGAAAAATGTTTATACTATTCAACCCAGCATTTGTATTTCTTTTTTGGGGGGGCAGTAGGGAAGGAAGAAGTAAAACTGTATTTCTAGATGATGTAATTATATACCAGAAAATCTTAATGAATCTACACAACTGCTAGAACTAGTAAGTTCAGAGACATCAGCGGATACTAGATCAGTATGTAAAAATCAATTGTATTTATATATACTACCTACAAACAATTGAAAAATGCAATTTAAAAAACACTGTTTTAACAGAACATCAAAAACACAGGGATATGTTTAGTAAAATATGTGAAAGACCTGTATACTTAGAGAAACGACAAAACATTTTTTTCCCAGTGTTTCAGCAGTCATTTATTCCTTTTATAAAAATATTGTTGTAGTTAGTTATTAACAACAACAAACTGTTTTAGCCAAAAGGTTAAATTTCTGCTCATTTATTTTTTTGAACCTTGAAACACCTCAGGCCAGAGCTATCATTATTACCCAATTACAATGATTCTTTGAATTACATGGTTTCATTTGCACACGCTGTTGTTTTCATTGCTACTGGTGTGTTTTTTTGTTTTTTGGGGGGGCACTGTTCCCTCTCCTCTCCTACTACCCCTGGTAACCAACAAAGAACACTTCCTTCCATATATGAATCTTTATTTGACCTTTTACAATAATGAACTAATACAGTATTTGTCCTCCTGTGATTGACTTATTTCACTCAGCATAATGTCCTCCAAGTTCATCTACGTGATGCAGTGTTTTTGCAGATTCTACATTATTCTTTAGGGTTGCATAGTTTTCCATTGTGTGTATGTACCACAGTTTGCTTATCCATTCTTCTGCTGATAGGCACCTAGGTTGTTTCCGTCTTTTTGCTGTTGTAAATAGTGTTGCAGTGAACATGAGTGTGCATATATCTGTCCTTGTCCTGGCTCTTATTTCTTTAGGATATATTCCTAGTAATAGGACTGCTGGATCAAATGATATTTCTAATTCCAACTTTTTAAGGAATTGTCATAATGCTTTTCATTGTGGGTTGTATTATTTTACAGCCCCACCAGCAGTGTTTGAGAGTCCCATTCTCTCTGCATCCTCACAAATAACAATAGCACTTGTTATTTTCTGTCTTGTTGAACTTTGCTACTAGTGCTAGGGCAAGATGGTATCTCATTTTTTGATTTGCATCTCTCTAATGGCTAATGATTGTGAGCATTTCTTCACATGTTTGTTGGCCGCCTGAATATCCTCCTTGGTGAAGTGTCTATTCACGTCTGCTGCCCATCTTTTAATTGGATTACTTGTCTTTCTGTTATTGAGGTGTTAGAGTATTCTATAAATTCTAGAGATAAGTCCCTTGTCAGATATGTCATTGCCAAATATTTTTGCCCAATCTGTAGGTTCTCTTTTGACTCTACTGGAAAAGTCTTTTGAAGCACATAAAAATTTAGTTTTTAGAAGGTCCCACACATCTAGTTTATGCATTTGTATTTCTATGATTTAATTCTAAAGAAAAAACACCTTAAGCCCAAAGCATTAACTTGGTCACCCAAAAATGTGCATTAGTGGAAGGATAATTAAGGATATAGCCTAGGAAACTCTATAGGGCAGTTCTACCCTGTTCTATAGGGTTGCTATAAATCAAAATCAACTTGATGGCACAAAACAACAACAAAAACAACTCATTATATCCACTCAACAGAATATGACCAGGGCATTAAAAATGGACAACATAAAATAGCATGCTCAATTATAGTAACATATGATTACAATTGTCTAAAACACAGACATTATTTGTAGAAAAAGAGTTGCAAAAAATACATCAGAATATCTTAATAGCAATTGCCATTCGTTAATGAAATTACAGATAATTTTTAAAATTACTTCTATTTCTCTGATTTTTAAATTTTTCTATACATAACTATGTATGATTTTTCAAATGGTACATATTCAACAGATTTTTAAAAGTTGTTTAGCTGATGCATTCTCAGAAGTAATCAAAGTGACAAAAATCAAATAAGTACAGTGTATAAGAGTCTAAATTCTGAGGTGCTCGGTGTGTGGAAGGCTGCAGTCTACAGCTAGAGCCCTAACTCCATTTTTCGTCTTGACATCATTTCAGACTCCATTTTAAGTTCTTTAAGTCACTTCCCTAATGCTTACTGACCTTTAAACAAACTTAATCCTTTCGTAACTGTGGGGCATATGCACGCACCTACATTTTCCATGTCTGAGGTTTAGTGGGGAGCTGCTATCCCACTTATAGTGCATGCTGATCTTTGATAGGAGCCTGTATAACTGCATGAATCTGAAGAAACCTCATCCCACCAACCCAAGCACCAGAGACCCCTCAGGACATATGTGTCCCACTAATTACATAACAACAACAATTGTATCAAAATCCGTATTATCGCAAAAGAAATTTATTTTCATTTCATCAGAATGGCTTGAATTACTGAAAACACATGGTTTCAACAAAAAAATTCAAAGCAGAAAGTAATTAGGTTTTGAAAGGCTTAATTATGCCGCTAAAGAAACATTTCTTTGTGCTCAGGCACAACAGGTTGTGGCAAGATCATACTCTTGAGAAGATGGTTGATTAGATTAAGACCCTTATCAGAAATTTCTTGTGCAAGCATGTCAGAAATATGTGTGCCTAAGGGCTATCTTAACAACTGTGACTTGGGAAAACCCATCTTATGTCTTGACCATACCTCTGAAACCTTCCCCTTACAAAAGCACTACTTTTGCGGTCCTTGCACCTATAAACCAATCCTAGCAAAAGTCCTGCTTGAGATGCCCCGCCTCTCCAATCAAAATAATTGTAAAGTTCCTGATTTAATATCGCAGCTGTGCTACCTCTGACTCTTGGTTTTACTTCTTGTGTTCCTGGGTTTAAATCTTATCAAGTCTTAATAAACCTCTTATCTCCTGTGATCCTGGAAAACTGGTGGACCAGAAGTGCCAGAGTCCCCAAGAGCCTTTTATGTCCAGTCCATCTTCCCCAGCTTTTAAGCCTTCTTGGATCAACCCTTGCTCTCCTTTCATTAACAACAGCACACTAAAAAAAAAAATTTCAAATTACCCAATCCACTCTGTAAGATCTGAATTGTGGCTCTCTGAGAATATTCCACAGAGATGAAGGTCTTCCTCTTTAAAGGAAATGTAAGATAAACCAAAGATGCTAGCTAATATGTCAGTATAACCAAGATATATCATGCCTGAATAGCTGAGTATTTTTAAATATTTTGGTATTTTCCCTTCTTTCTGAATTTCAAAATGCAAATAGAAAATAAAAGTCTGGGTCTTCAAATTTTTACAGTTGTACTGATTAGAACAAGTCCTAGAAACTGAGGATCGTATAATGAATTCTAATGAGTCAACAGGATATTTTTGTATTTTATATCCTACTTGTCCCTAGAAAAACTCCAATACATAGAGTTGTGGTTAGAGTTGTGGTGGTTAAGTTTGTGTGTAAACTTGACTAGGCCTGGCTGAGTGGCTGGGCAGCTGGATGTAGTATTCCCCATGATGAGACTGGTAATCAACTCCATGGTGAAATCTACTGTGAGCAGCTGAGTAGCTGCCTTTGGGTATGTGGTCTGCTTCCCGTATATAAGAAACAGCTTTGAGAATGGTCTCTAGCTTATGGTACGCTTGAACCCTGCATGTAGCTGAGTTGTTCAGCAGCCTGCCATGCTCTGCCAACCTTGGGACTTACAGTGGACTTGAATTAATGGCCTGCCGTGTGGTTTGGTAACATCAGGACTGTGCTATTTTATTTGTCAGCCTTGGGCTTGTCAGCCTCAGCAGCTAGTAGCTGCCTGAGTGAAGAGATGCCTCTAGCTTCACTGGGCCAGGAGCAAGAGGCAGAGCTGAAGCCCAAGGTTGAGGGGCTTTCACCCAACCCATAGAGCCTGGCACTTTGACTTCTAGCCTCCCGAAATGTAAGAGAATAAACTCCTGTTTGTTAAGGGCATCCCATTTGTGGTATATTTTTGTCCGAGTGGCACTAGGTAACCAGAACAGAATATGGTCCCAAGAGAGTGGAATGCTGCTCTGGACAGATACCTAAAATGTGGAAACAAGAATGGAGTGCATCCTTAACCCAAGACCCCAGCAGAGAGACCCTGGCATGCAGCACAAGAGATAACAAGAGCAGAGACGAGAGACCAGCATGAGAGATGGCAGGAGCAGAACCCAGAGACCGGCATGAGACAGTGACAGCCTTACCAGCCCACAGAGGAGAAAGCTTGATGCCTTTGGTTAGGTGGCTTCCCGGTGGAGTAGGTTGCCTTCAGGTGTTAACTGGTAAAAGACTGGCATGAAATGGAGTAGCAGGTTGGCTGGCCCATGGAGCAAGAAAGCTGAATGCTTTGGGGGGTTGGAAAATTTCCGGCGGAGTGGGTTGTTTTCAGCATTAATCGCCAGAAGCGGAGAGACCAAGGAAACAGGAAGTACAGCTGCCTCAGCCTCAAAGGTAGGACCATGGCCTTTGGGGGTCGCCCCTAGGTTTCAAAGAGCCAGACCTTCACCAACTTGGTTCTGGAGTATGGGGCTGCTCGTTCATGTGAGCCAGTGGGATGGAGTCATAGCTGCTGCCCAAGAGTGAGGGGGCGGGGCTGCCATGCCCAAGGAGGAGAGGAACGGGCCCACCAGGCCAAGGGGCTGAGGTTACTACTCAGGAACTAGGGGACTGGAGTCACCCAGTGAAGAGATCTGTACAGATACCACCCACTGAAGATCTGTACAGGTACCAAGTTGACAAGGGGGTGGAACTGTGGTTAAGTTTGTGTGTCAGCTTGGCTAGGCCTGGTTGGCACTAGGTGACCAGAACAGAGCAGTTAAAAATGAAAATTAGATATACTTACTGGAATTGCTGATGAGGAAAAGCGGCAGGAGATACAGCTCCTGAAGTGGGCTGAGCTACCTAGTGTAAGAATTAAGGCAAATAAAGTCAAATTTAGGAGCCTACCTTTCCTAGAAACAGAAGTCTGTCATTGACTGGTCCTTATAAGGAAGGGTTGTTCCTGAACACATCTCAGGCAGTTTCACATAAAACCACTGTCATCTATGCAGTGCTGCTTAAAGCCTTTTTACACACTTCACTTTGTCTCATAATACGGTAGCATGGGGAGATGGCAGGAAGAGCAGAGAGCTTTATTATCATTCCTACAGTACAGAGAAGGGAACCTAAGCTTGATGGCTAGGTAACTGCGCCAAGGTCACTCAGCAAGAAATTGGCTGAGTCGGGCCTTGAGCCACACTCTACTAAGTCTTTTTTTTTTTTTATTCCCACTGATTATTCCTTCTATTAAACTGTATTACACTGCTGAATGGATAAAAATGCAAATGTTACTCTAGAAGTAAAAACATGTGCTATTCAAAAGAGGTATTTAACTTAGCAAGAGTCCAATCCAAAATATAAGAAATAGATTGGCTGGTCATTTAAAAAAAAAAAAGTCTATAAAATAAATAATGGGTCCAGAAAATATGATTCACACCTTCTAGCATGATTTTAAATTTCTTGAAGGACTAGAAATTCTTTTTGCAAAATCTCTTTTTTATCCGTTAACCACACATTATTGATTATTGACATAACCTAGGGAATTACTTTCAGAGTGTCACTGCTCATAAACATGTAATCATTTCTTAAATGACATCTTTATATAATCTGGTGATACTGCAACAGTCAAGGACAGAGGCAGGCCAGCAATTACTAGTTCCTGTTTTCTCCAAGGCAGAGAGGTTAAGGCCCTTGGTCAACTCTTCTGGCTGCCAGACAGTCCAGACTTCTGCCTTCCAAACCAATGTTCTTTTCCCCTCTTAACTACTGCAGTACTTTTTATGCTTCAAAAGATATGATTCCTTATTCAGTAATTGACATTTCTTTAGAAAATTTAAGGCTGAGGAGAAAGTATGCTACAGAATTTCCAATAGTCTATGTAAAATTGAAAGCTCTATTGCCTTAGTGCCTAAGGCATTTGACTGCTAACCAGAAACCCACCAGCTACTCCTCAGAAGGAAGACTGAGCAATCTACTTCTGTAGAGATAGCGCCTTGGAAACCCAAGGAGGGGTCACTATGAGTCGGACTCAATGGCAGTGAGTTTGGTTTGGGTTTTTTTTTGGTTCTGTGTGAAACTAAGCCACAAATTCACTGACGATCAAGTCCTGAGCTGTCCAATACTATAACCACTAGCTACATTTCTGTGATGCAATGAATTAGTTAATATGGCCCAACTAACCATATACCTATCATTGCTGCTGTTAGACGAATCTTGGCTGAAAGCAAAGAATACCAGATTGATGTTCACCTGTGTTTTATTGACTGTGTAGAGACATCTGACTATGTGGATCATAATAAATTATGGATAATATTGCAAAGAATTGGAATTCCAGAACACTTAATTGTGCTTGTGAGGAACCCAGACCAAAGACTGTCTTTTGGACAGAACAAGGGGATAACTGCATGGTTTAAATCAGAAAGAGTGTGCTTAAAGGTTTTATCCTTTCATTATACTTCTTCAGTCTGTATACTGAACAAATAATCCAAGAAGTTGGACTGTCACAAGGGACGTCAAGCCCAATTGACATAACATACTACACAAAAACATTGTTCCACATCCTACTTTGGTGAGTAGTGACTGAGATCTTAAAAGTCTGCAAGTGGACAATGGGCCTTCGAAGAGTATGAAGGGATGGACACTGGGAGGAGGTAACTATGGGGAGGAAGTAGGAGGGGAGCTGCTGCATTGTAAATTTTGGTCAATGACATGAGACAAAGTATATGTGAACTGCTGTATGAAAAGTGAATTTACTCTGTAAATCTTCACCCAAATCCTAAAAAAAAAAAAAAAAAAAAAAAGTTTGCAAGTGGCCATCTAGATGGAATGATGGGTCTCTCCTCGTCCAAAGCAAAGAATAATGAAGAAAACCAAAGATGCGTGGAAACAATTAGTCCAAGGGACTGGTACACCATGTGATCTTCAGCCTATAAGACTGTGAGACCAAAAAACTAGATGGTGCCTGGCTACCACTGTCAACCACTCTGAGGAGGATCTATGTAGGAAATGCTGGATAGAGTGGAGGAACAATGTGGAACAAAACTCAAAATCATAAAAAAAGGGACTAGGTTTGCTGGTCTGATAGAGCCTGGTGGAACCCCTGAGACTGTGCCCCCTAGCTGCCCTTCAGGTCTGGAATTGAACTCACTCCTGTGGCTACAGCCAAACAAAGATAGGCATATCAGCTGAACATTAACTCCTTGGAGAAATCAATCATGGGTAGAAGGGCAGTGTATGCATAGGGAGACAGCTTGAGGGGCAGGAGTGCATTGGAGGGAAGGACACAAGGAAGAGGTAACCATGGGAAGGAGATGGGAAGGGAGCTGTTGCATTGTGGGAAATTGCAGTTAATGTCATGAGACAAAATGTATGTGAGTGGCTGTATGGAAATTGAATTTGCTCTGTAACCTTTCACCCAAATCACAATAAAATTTTTTTTAAAAAATGGACTGTATGAAGAACACAGCATCAGGATTGGAGGAAGACTTATTAACAACATGCAATATGCAGATGACACAACCTTGCTTGCTGAAAGTGAAGAGGACTTGAAGTACTTGCTAATGAAGATCAAACAGTCCAGTCTTCAGTATGAATTACACCTCAATATAAAACAAAAGTCCTCACAACTAAACCAATAAGCAACATCATGATAAACAAAGAAAAGATTGAAGTTGTCAGGGATTTCTACTTGGATCCTGCAGTGTAGTAAATTACTTAGTGTGGCTTTTCTACCCATAAGTCTTTGTAAACTCCAAGGTGGGATTTTCTGTGACCAACTGAGGAGTTCCTGATTGCTGAAGGTGTCCACCTGGAGTATTTCTGTTGGGAGTGGCACAAAACAATGTTCTGGGAGGTGCCCACTCTCAGGTGCTTAGAGTTCTGATGCTATAATTGGCTAGTTTGACCACCCTGCAGGCTCTAAAGGAGACCTCCTGGAGGCAGAACTCTCTCTGACTGCTGGTTGAAGAAGATGTGCTGCTGAAAGAGACACGGGCTCCTGAGACACACGTTGCTGGCAAAGAGACACAAGAGACAAGCATTGCTGAGTGAGACACCGAGGGACCAGCACTGCTGAGAAAGAGACTGTGAGAGACTCTTGGCTGAGGGACGGTGGGCTGGGAGAGAGACTGAGCATTTTTGTAGCCTGTGGTGCATCCCTAATAAACCCCATAATCTGTGAGCTCTGTGTGGCCACTGCAGCGAATTATCGAACCCAGGAGAGAGGTGGTGGGTGCTTTGGGAGGAACGGTTGGAGAAAGGGCTGGAGGGAGGCAGCATGTCTGGCCTGGCAGGAATGGGCCTTGGGCTATTGATGGTGATTCTGTCTTCCTCTTGTGGGATTACAGGAGGTCAGAACATGTGGCCTCCTTGCCGTTTTTGCAGATCCTCAATCAACACTCATGTAAGCAGCAGTCAAGAAATCAAGATGTTATATCTCACTGGGCAATTGTTCTGCAAAAGACCTTGCTTAAGTATTAAGGAACAAAGAGGTCACTTTAAAGACTAAGGTGTGCTGAACCCAAACAATGGGATTTTTAGTCTCCTCAGATCCACGTGAAAGCTGGACAATGAATAGGGAAGACCGTAGGAAAACTGGTGAAGAATACTGAAAACACCATGGACTGCCAGAAGAATGAACAAATCAGTCCCAGAAGAAGTATACCAGAATGCCCCTAGGAAGCGAGAATAGCCACACTTCGTCTCACATACTTTGGGAATGTTCTCAGAAAGGAATAATCCTTGGAAAAGGATATGCTTGGTAAAGTGGAAGGTCAATGGAAAAGGGGAAGGCCCTCAATGAGATGGACTGACACAGTGGCTGCAACAGTGGGCTCCGATATAGCACAGATTGTGTGGCTGGACCAGGCAGTGTTTCGTTCTGTTGTACATAGGGTCATTATGAGTCAGAGACGACTCACCAGCACCTAACAACAACAACTGGAGATTCTGATTCAGTCAGTCTGAAGTAGGATCTGCATTTCTACCAAGTTCTTACGTGATGCTGATGACGCTGGTTCTGGAACCACACTTGAACAAGACAGCTTAAATGACTTTGGTTTTAGTTTATCAATCATCTCTCCATTTTCTCATCTGTAAAATGAGAGTACATTATCACCTGGGTTCCCTCTATTATTCCATGGGCAGAATTTTAAATGGTTACGATGCATTCCTGCTTTGAAACTCAACCATGAGAGCAATAATGGAAGTAAAAGAAACAGCAATCACTAATCTCAGGAGCAATTTCAGGATCCTGAACAAGCCAATTTGGCAGCTTAAGGAAAAATCCCAGGCAGAGTGTTCCGCGGAGCTTCCAAAACTATGCCCTGAATGCGAACACTTAATCTGAGCAGGCAAAAACAATGGTGTAAAACCACTTGATTTGTGGTGTGTAGTGCCATCTTTCTAGAGCCACCTGGACTGTCACACCAGTAGCACACATGTTCTCTCTGGGATTAATTTCTGAACACCAAATCAGGAGGCAGACATACAGCACTAAATCCTTTTTCAGGAAACAATGTAGATCTCATGGGGTCCACTGGGCACCCAGAGGCCTCCAAGATACAGAGTTCCCTCAGAAAAAGGAAGCGTCAGAAGAGAGCTGGCCAAGAGCAGCTCCACTTGGAGAAGCTAGGTGACCACCCCCTCCACAGAGGGCATGACCCAAGTGTGGCCGGGACCCCAGGTCCTACACTTGTGCTGGTGTCCACTCCCGAGTGGGCTCCCGGTGCCTGCCTGCCTTCATTTCTTCATTTCGCATTACAATGCAACTGTACTTTGACTTATCTAGGAGACATTGGGAGGCGCTGGACTGCTGGCGAACCCACCTACAGGCGCCTTGGGAGACAGCCCTGGTGATCTGCTTCCACAAGGTAGAGAGAGGCCACACCAGCCCCAGAGGTCAGAGCAGTCACGCGCCTGCTGATCAGCGAATCCCCACTGGGGACTTGGAGGCCATCAGGGGCTAAGATGATACTGCCATCCCACCCCTCCGGGTTGTCAGGATGAGATGTGATCATCAGTGGAAGAGAAGTGGAGGAAAGGGAAGAGCCGGCCCAGGGGGGGTGGGTGTGCGATCCGCCCTTAAACCACTATCCTGACCAGGGTCACCAGGAGGCCCTCCCTGGCACGAAGGACAAGGTGGCGGCGCCCTCCCAACCCGAGCCCCGCGAAGTCCGCGCCCCAAAGGATACGACGGCCCTGGCCGCTGAGTGGCCGAAGTGTCCCAGCATGATCCGCAGGCGGTTGGCAGCGCGGGCGGCAGCGCCGGCCTGGTTCATGGTACCAGCGAGGAGAGAAGACTCGGCAGGACTCTGGTGACTTAACTCGCTACGGGATTCCGCCTACCAGGGCGGCAGGAGGGGCCACCGGCGGAACCCGGAGTGGTGGGAGGGGCCACTGGAAGGACATGACGCGCTAAGGGCAGGGTGCAGCGGCAGGGCCTGGGGACTGCGGGCTAGGCTGGTCTGACCCTACACGTACCGTGATGCGCCCAGTCGCCCCCTCATGGCCCTCAGTCAGCAAACAAGTCCACAGCCGGCTAACTTCCCTCCTCATGCACACCATTTCTAAGCAATCACTAACATCATTCCTAACACAGAGAAGAAAGCCTAGGCTTCAGGGTTAATTTGGCAAGGCAACTGTCATGAATTTAGTTGTCTCCCCCCAAAATGTGTCAACTTGTCTAGGCCATGATTCGCAGTGGTTTGGCAATTATGCAATGATGTGATGTGATGTGATCAGCCAATCAATTGTAGCAGGATTAGGGTAAGATGCAACATAGACTAGCCTTATTTTAAATTTCCTAAAAAACTAGCAATTCTTTTTTAAGAGTCATTGTACCAAAAAGAATTGGTGGATGCGCAGCCATTTCAGGAGATAGCATATAATCAAAAATCCATGGTGTTGAAGGAAGAAGTCTGCATTGCACTAAAAACATTGGAAAAACAAGGCTTCAGGAATTGATAGAATATTAACTGACATGTTTTAACAAAGGGATGCAATGCTGGAAGTGCTCACATAGTTGTGCCCATTCCAAAGAAAGATGATCCAAAAGAAGGTGGCAATTCTTGAGCAATATCATTCAGATCACACACAAGTAAAATTTTGCTGAAGATAGTTAAAAACTGGTTGTAGCAGAACATGGATAGGGAACTGCCAGCAATTCAAGCCAGATTCAGAAGAGGACATGAAACAAGGGATATAATTGCAGATGTCAAAAGGATCTTGGCTAAAAGCAGAGAATAGCAGAAAGATGTTTACTTGTGCATATTGCAGGTTGTTAATGAGTCTTCCTCCGATTCTGATGCCGTGTTCTTTTTCTTATAGAACATTTAATTGTGCTCATGTGGAACCTGTACATAGACCGAGAGGGTACTGCGTGGTTTAAAATCAGGAAAGTTGTGCATCAGCGTTGTCTCTTTTCACTATACTCATTTAATCTATATGTTGAGCAAAAAGCATGAGAAGCTAGGCTGTGAAGAATGCAATACAGGGTGGTAGGAAGACTCATTAACAACATACAATATGCAGATGAAACAACCTTGCTTGCTGAAAGTGAACAGGGCTTGAAGCCCTTACTGATGAAGACCAAAGACTATAGCCTTCAGTATGGATTACACCTTAACATAAAGAAAACAAAAATCCTCACAACTAGCCCAATAAGCCACATCATGATAAACAAAGAAAATATTGAAGTTGTCATTGATTTGTTTTACATGGACCCACATTCACCTATGGAAGCAGCAGTTGACAAAGCAAGAGACATACTGCAAATCTGCTGCAAAAGACCTTTTTGAAGGTTGAAAAGCAAAGATGTCTTTGAAAACTAAAGTGCACCTGACCCAACCCATATGTTGAATAAGGAAGGCCAAAGAAGAATTAGTACTTTTGAATTATGATGTTGGCAAAGAATATTAAATATGCCAGGAACTGTGAGTTGGGTTTGACTCGACAGCACATAACAACAACAACAACAACAACCAGAAGAACAAGCAACTCTGTCTTGTAAGAACTACATCTAGAATCCTCCTTAGAAGAATGGTGAGACTTCATCTCTCATACTTTGGACAGGTTATCAGGAGGGACCAGTCCCAGAAGGACATTGTGACATTGTGCTTGGTAAAGTAGAGGTTCAGTGAAAAAGAAGAAGACCTTCAATGAGATGGACTGACACAGTGGTTGCAGCAGTGGGCTCAAATACAGAACCGATTGTGAGGATAGCACAGGACTAGGCAGTCTTTTGTTCTGTGGTACATAAGGTCACTGAGTGGGAACTGACCCGACAGCACCTAACAGCAACTCAGGAACTGACTTGAACCTTTTGGTTCTTTACTCTTTTTCCATTTTCCCACCTTATCCAAAGTTCCAGACTCTTTTAGGTTAGCACAAGGAACCTGGTCCTGCCACATCCACTCTTAGCCTTTAATTCCTTCCACCAGATCTGCTCATTCCACAGCAGGAACCTGATTTCGAACTGCTCAGCTGGGGTTGCTGAGGCATTTCAGAAGAGGCATCTGTGTTTATACAGTTAAAAAGTTAAGTCTCTGGCCTTTGGTGGGTACTGCAGAAAGAGAATTTTCATCTTGCAGCTGCTGAGAAAAGCCGGTACTGGACCGAGAATAGGTGAAGCGTGTCTCTTTGCTGCCCTCACATGGTAAAAAGTGGGTACTGCTGGAAAGAGAAAAATTAAAATAACTGAAAACAGAAAATGTGAATTCAGTTTGTTGTTGTTGTTAACCTTCTAGTAAGGAGCTCTGGTGGTGTAGTCCCTAAGGCACTTGACTGCTAACCAGAAGACTGGCGGTTCAAACCCACCAGCCACTCCTCGGAAGGAAGGTTGGGCAATCTACTTCCGTAGTGATACCACCTCAGAAACCTAAGGAGGGGTCACTATCAGTCGGGTCTGACTCGAGGGCACATAACAACAACAACCACCTTCTAGTTGATTCCAACTCATAGGAACCCTGTATGACAGAGTAGACCTGCTGAATAGTATGTCATAGAGTGGAATCTTTGCAGGAGCTGATCATCAGGTCTTTTCTTCCGTGAAGCCGCCAGGTGGGTTCCAATCACTGACCTTTTGGTTACTTCACTATTAAGGCTTCACTATTGAAGGTTGGGCAATTCTACTTCCGTAGTGATACTGCCTCGGAAACCCAAGGAGGGGTCGCTATGAGTCGGGGCCGACTCGACGGCACATAACAACAACAACATTGGTAACTTGGTTATCTGGTGGCTTCACTATTGTACCACCAGGGCTCTTTGAATTCAGTTCGCCCCCACCCAAATTGTTGAAACATCAGAGCCTTCTCATTTCCAGACCCTGAAAATTATTAGCTTCCCTGACCAATGAGACACAAATGAGATGAAGTTTCTTCTACCTGTACTTTCAAAGTTCCCTTAAAGTGGTTTCATTTCCCCACTATAAGTATGCAAAAGTACCCTTGACCTCTCTACCATAAGGTATTTATTTGTACAAAGGACATGTAGTTTCTGTTACCTGAGAGATGAAGGAAATCCTTAACACTTCCAATTATTATCTGACTTTTTAGGATTAGAGGAATGCTGGGTTTTAAATGTTTTCCTTTACAATCACATGAGGAATTGAAACAATTTTTGCTTAGGTAAAGAGATAATTGGATGAATGTTACCAGTTTCTTGTTTCTTTTTTTCAACTTTTTATTGTGATTTGGGTGAAGTTTTACAGAGAAGATTCATCTTCCATTCAACAATTCATAGACTTTTTTTTCTGTGTGTGTGACACTGGTTACAATCTCTACACTGTAACAGCTTTCTTCCCACTTCCTGTTAATTGTTGTTGTTAGGTGCTGTCGAGTTATCTCAGACTCATAGGGACCTTATGTACAACAGAACGAAAACTGTGCCTGGTCCTGTGCCAACCTCACAATCTTGCTATACCTGAGCCCTTCGTAGCAGCCTCTGTGTCAATCCATCTTGTTGAGGGCCTTCCCCTTTGTCATTGACCCTCCACTTTGCCAAGCTTGATGTTGTTGTTGTTGTCATATGCCGTCGAGTCAGCCCTGACTCATAGCGACCCCTCCTTGGGTTTCTGAGGCAGTATCACTACGGAAGTAGGATTGCCCAACCATCCTTCGGAGGAGTGGCTGGTGGGTTTGAACCGCCAGCCTTCTGGTTAGCAGTCAAGTGCCTTAGCCACTATGCTACCAGAGCTCCCATATCCTTCTACAAAGAATTGTCCCTTCTGACAACATGACCAAAGTAGATGAGACAAAATCTGGCCTTTCTCGTTCCAAGGAGCATTCCAGCTGCACTTCTTCCAGGACAGATTTGTTAGTTCTTTTAGCAGTCCATGGTGCTTACAAAATTCTTCGCCAGCACCACAACTCAAAAGCATCAACTCTTCTTCTGTCTTCCTTATTCATTGTGCAGCTCTCACATGCACATGAGGTGATTGAAAATATCATGGCTTGGGTTAGACACACCTCAGTCTTCAAGGAGACATCTTTGCTCTTCAGTGCTTGAGAGAGGTCTTTTGCAGCAGGGTTGCTCAATGCAATACATTGTCTGATGTCTTGACTGTTGGTTTATTGGTGTTGACTATAGAATCAAGTAATATGACATCTTTAACAACTTCAATCTTTGTCTATTAATCATGATGCTGCATTTTGGGAGCTCTGTTGGCATAGTGTCTAAGACATTTGACTGCTAACCAGAAGGCTGGTGGTTCAAACCTACCAGCTGTTCCTTGGAAAGAAGATTGGGCAATCTAATTCTGTAGAGATATGGCCTCAGAAACCCAAAGAGGGGTCATTATGATTTGGGGATCAGCTCGATGGCAGTGAGTTTGGTTTTTGAGTTTGCTTATTGGTCCAGTAGTGAGGACTTTTGTTTTCTTTGTATTGAAGTGTAATCCATACTACAGACTGTAGTCTTCAATCTTCATCTGTAAATGCTTCAAGTAATCCTCACTTTCAGCAAGCAAAACAACCTGTGTCTGCTTATCACAGGTTGTTAATGACTCTTCCTCCAATCCTGATGTTCTTCCTCATATACTCCAGCTCTCAGATTTTTCACTCAGCATACAGACTAAGTAAGTATGGTGAAAAGAATACAATTCTGACACACTCCCTTCCTGATTTTAAACCATGCAATATCCCCTTCTTCTGTTCGAACAACAGCCTCCTGATCTGTGTACATTTTCCTCATGATACAGCTAAGTGTTCTGGAATTCCCATTCTTCTCAATGTTATCCATAATTTGTTATGATTCACACAGTTGAATGCTTTTGCATAGTCAGTGAAACACAAGTAAACATCTTTCTGGGATTCTTTGCTTTCAGTCAAGATCCATCTGACATCAGCAATGACATCCCTCATTCCACATCCTCTTCTGAATCCAGCTTGCAATTCTGGAAGTTCTTTGCCAAT